AAGTTCATAATGAGAAGAGTGGAATAATTGCGAAATTCATAGAAGTTGTAAAATTAACACAACGTGATAAGAGTAGAATAATCGCAAAATTTGTCGATGAGAAAAAAGGATACAAGCACGGGGTCTAATAAAATCAAATTTATAAACGATATCCAAAAATATTTAAAAAAGAACAAGGAAAAAAGATATAAAATGGCATTGAGTTTTTAAATCTGAATCAAAATGAGACTTTTATATTTTTTTAATTACTTTCCTATAAATACTTTATTTGTTTTACGACAACCCCCCCCCCCCCAAAAAAAAACAAAATTTCTGTATGGGCCTGCCTCTATAACCTTTATCCCTACGCCTTACCTCAGTCTACCTTAAAATTTATTTCACCAAATTTTTAAAAAAAAAATTTTTTTCTTTCCTCGAGAAGCTTTTTATCAATTTAGAGCTTATCTTTAAATTTTTATAATAACTTTTTATGAATCGATTTAATAATCTAAATATTCTCCATTTTTTGTTCATCACATTCTTGCTTTTTTATCTTCTTCCTGTTTGAAAACAAACAAAAAAATACTCTCGTATATATCGTGGCCCGCTGACAAAACAGGGCCTGGCCGAATTTATTAAATTTAGATTAAGTATCAATTATTGACTTATAACTTGTTGTTTCGTATGCCGGATTTTTCCTCTTTAAAACATTATGCAAAAATGATGGCAAAATAATTTATAATAACCTAAGTTTACGGGGCTATCTGGATCGGACCGAGCTAAAAAAATCCATTTTAAACCCGATGTAAAACCTTGGTCTAAAATTAGACCCCTCCGTCGATTTGATTTATATATAAAGGACAAAGATATTATATAAGTATATATCCCCTAACTATATTAAACATTTTAAAAAGTTTTCAAAAAAATAATAAAAAAATAGGTCTCATTTTGCTTTGAGGCCAATGACATATAATAATACCTAGACTGACGATACATTCATAATAATGCATTTGAAAGCGTCGTTGAATGCATAATCAGCTGGACCCGCCATTTTGGTAACCCATATAGTAATTATTCTCATGTTAAACACTCACTACTATTAAATTGATAACTTGCTTCCTTATTATCTCGATGATCAGGCAATTAATTCTTTGATAAAGTTTGCGTCAGACAAAATTGGCCTCTCGTTATTCGTTTAAATTTTTTAATAATGATATGGGTTAACCAATATAGCGTCCCCAGCTGTTTCCCGATGATATACACTTTTAATTAATGCATCGGCAGTCTTAGGTATTATTATATGTCATTGATTGAGGCATATCTAAGGCGCATATAAAAAACTTTCTTTAATCAATTTACATGAAGCATTTTTTTTTAAACTGAATTTACTATCCTTTCTAAGTTGTTTAATACGCGTAATATTTACAGTATTTTGCAGATTTGATAAAGGAAGATAAAAAAAAACCATTTTCATATTTTTTTTAATTTATTTGCAAAATTAAAATTATTTTAACTTGCAAAACATAAATTTTAAAATAAGGAAATGTTTGCCATCAACTCTGCACAAGTCAGCAAATATCGAATTACTATAATTAGTAAATTAATATTAGGGAGGTTTGTAAAAAAAATTGGGGAAAAAACATTTTAAAAAAAACAATGTAAAAGGAGGGGTTAATATTAAAAAAAATCTATTTAAAAATTCTATAACCCACCAGAGTTGTTAAAAGTATCTATAGATATAAAAATATGGTATTTGTTATGTATATGTATATATATTATTTTAGAGATATATGTATCTATTTGTAAATACCTTTTAGATACATTATGATATAATTTTATTTTGTGTTTCGGCATTTACCCTACCGAAATTTATACCCAAATGGAAGCGATCTTTTTCGAATATCTTATTTTTATATTTGACCGATTGGATATAACGAAATGGCGTGTAAAAGATATCGGAAATGGGTTATAAATAAAAAGTTTCAAGTCTTCTAACTCCGCATTCACAGGTAACGCGAATTCGCAGGCGAGTGCGGGGTAACTACTGCAGGAAAAAAAATCAATATCAGCTGATTCGTATGATCGAAATTTCCCAAATTAAAAATATGCGGGTAAAAAAAGGGAGATAGCTTAGATTAGTGTTATTAAATGGCTCGTAAATCAATATTCTATCCAAAAAAAATATTAAGCAAGCCTGAAGATTTTTTTCATAGATGGAACCACGTTTTGGACATCTTATTAGCGAGATCTCAAGGGTTAGGCAATATACTTCTGGCTAAAATATTGAGTTAACCGTTTTTAAAAATCGGCTCAAATCGAGCTGTTCAACAACACTAATTTAGATGGCCTCTAATCATGATTCAAGGCGTCTTGCTCTTTTCTTTTGGCTTAAGATAAATTTCCTCGTTTAAAAAAAAATTCTTCAAAAAAATAAATAAATTTAAGTTCATAGACATATTTTTTTCTTTCCTAAATTGAAAAATAAAAATTAATTTTGAATGTTCATTATTGCACTCACTGCATTGCATTGCGCAAAATTCTTGTTTATTTATTATTAAAAAAAAATTAAGATTAGCCAAAATAAAAATATTTTAAAAAATATATAAAATGATTAATTATACAAAAAAAATGAATTTAACAATTGATTATTATTTAAATAATTAAAAATAAATAATATTTTTTAATAAAAAATATATTTCAGGCATTTGATTTTGGCATGTGATAGGTTTTAATTTTAAACTTCCATTCATAAATGGCCCCCAGTCCGCCATTTCACTTTTACCATTTAACATATTTTCATTATGGTAAAGTTGTTGTTATATGGCTTACTCAATATTTAATTTAAGCCAGAAAAATATTGCCTGAGCCTCGAAATTTCGCTAATAGAATGATCAAACCTTTGTGCTGCCATCTATGAGCAAAATCTTTATGTTTGCGTAATTTCTGGGTAAAAATATTGAGTTTTATAGCCCAATTTTAAAAATCGGCTCAAATTGAACCCTTTAACAACACTAGGTAAAACAATAAAAAATGGGGCGGGGACCAGTGTTGCACAAAAATTTATTATTAACGCTTACAAATTGTAAGCGTTTTGGTTTTTGCAGTAATTTTTTAAAAATAATGGATATCAAAATGTTATCATCCATTATTGATAAACGTTTTCAAAATTTTGCGTTTAGTACCGAATAACGCAGCGAAATGTCCTGGGCAAAAAAACACTGGTCAAACATAACCCGGGCAAAAATACCCCAATATTTTTTCAAAATTACCCATTTAGTTCGGCTGTGTCCAAAATATCAAAAAATTCGATTGATTCGCAAACTTTTAAAACTTTATCAAAAAGGTAGAAATAAGCAAAATAAAAACATGTCCAAAATATAATTCTATAACATATGATATCATTAAAGTTTTAAAACTTTTTGAATTTTCTTTATAAGAATTAAAAAAAATTTCAATACTGTCCAGTCTTTTTGTCCATTATATTCGTTCAATGTCTTTTTGTCCAGGACCTATCTGTCCATGATTATATCTTACCAGTTCAACCAAAGAGGCGTTTTATAGAACAAAAAACGCTATAAGGTTCTGTTCAATTTGTAGGCAGTTTTTTATATTTAATTATCACTTTAGGAAAAGTTTAAAAATAAAGGAGTCTAAAAATAGGGTATTAACAAGTTTTCAGTAAGGTTAATTATATTGGGATTTATTTTAAAGCATTATGTCAAGTAGGATTCTGCATGGACCTTTAAAAAAATATGTTAATTATATAACTAAAATCCATAATATATTATTATGGGTTCTACTGTAGAATTAGTAATAATTGGTAAGAGTTGTGATTTGTAATCGACGTTATTTTGATACGTCAAAAATTATATAATATAATTATTTACCTAAACCTATTTTGGGTTATGTTATTTTTTTTAGATCTCATTGAATGAATAAGACTTTCGGCTTTATATCTACTTTTTATTTTAATGTTTTTTTTTTCTCTCGATTATATCATTATTTTAAGAAATTGTTAATTTAGACTTATTTTTTTTAAAAAAAAATTTGTGACAATGTATTCATTTTTAGGTAATGGGGTGGAGGCTGGGTGTGTAGACAGATTTTTTTAATTAACTTATAATGATATTTACTAATTTACAAATCTACCCTTCTTTCTTCATCTAGAGTGTGATAATATAAGAATATATATCAATGTTGAAAATAAGGCAAACTATTATGATACATTCATTAATTAACAATTGGAGTTGGGTTGTAAAATCATCTCTCCAAGATGCAATTTTTTTGCATAACACTTTGTACTGGTTTTACAAAATGGGTAATAATTGTATATTGTTTTCATTCAATAATATTAATATTTATTACCATTGAATAAATAAATTGAATTTAAGGTTAAATTTAACCAAGTTATAAGTTACAGCTAACTTTATTATCAGAATATTTTATTTTAAATAAAAATTTAAAATAAAATAAATTTAAAATAAAATATTCAGTTTTTGCTATAAAGTGTTGGTTGACAATTACATAAGCAAAACAACAATTTAAATGAATTTGTTATGTTTTTAAAAAATGCAATAATAGTTATATCATATATCAGCATTCCTTGATCTTTGTGAAACATGATAAATTAATCAACTTGGGCAATTTAATTATGCATAATATTGTAAAAAATTTATAAAATCACTTAATTTAATTAATTAATTCATGCTATGGAAGGAAGATACCAAATATTAAAAAGAAAAAGGTAAATTATATTTTATAATACATATTTAAAATTTGTAAATTCTATAAAATTTTTATAATAACTTGCATTATTTTGGTGATGACCATATATTTTAATTTAATTTGCCTAAGATATTATAAAAGGCCCTTATTTTTTGTGAAGTCAATATAATATATTATATATAATATATATTTATATATATAATTTTTTAAAACTCTTATAAATTAATTATCCATAAATTTTTAAAAATAACAAATTTTAATAAATATATATATGAATTTTATTTTTATAAAAAAACCTTTTCATGAATTTCCTGGGTTAATTGGGCATCACAGAATGCAACAGTTGCAATGTCTTTAAGAATTGGCATTTCTACTGAACAATCTCTCCCATCTAACAAAGCCACTAAAGGCCTTGCATGTATATTAAGATTTCCTAATTAAGGTAAATATACATATTATAAATTTATTATGTTATAGCATAATCTTAAATTTATGAAGCAATTATGTATGATTAATGGTAAATAAATAAATTTTCTTAATAATTATGAAATGTTTAAACTTGAATGTGGAGGATTAATACGTATTGGACTATTATCAAGTTTAGAATGTTTATATTTTGGTTTAAGCTTTTCCATTGTTATAAGATTATTTGAATGTTATTTCAGTTCATTAATTGCAAAATCAGTTTTTAGTGCAAACAATATTGTTTTAACACATTGGCGTCAAATGATCGAAAAGTATTTTCTTTGGTAAAAATAAAAAAACTTCGTTTTGACGCATGTATATCCAGGTAGGGTTGGACAAGTATGTGATACTAATATACTTTACAATATATCGTGTACCCCTCCTGTGTAATCTTGTTTCAGATTGTAAAGTATTTCTATCTAAAATATTTTCCTATCATAGATGTCGCGTAATTAATATTTTTATGATTAAAGGCTCTTTGGTGGCTCATACAATGAATATATCATTGGGCTCATATCAATAGTGTTGTAAAAAGTCCGATTTTCGTGATTTTAATAAAAGTTTTAATTAAAGTTTTAGCCAAATAATTTTATGTAAGCCTGGATATTTTTCTCTAAGATAGGAAAAAGATTTGGAGCTTTATTTAGAAAACTTGAGGCTTACATAATATCATTTTCTCTAAAATATTAATCGGAGCGTTTTTAAAATCGACCCTTGGGCTCTATATGTAAACATTTCTAAAAAAATCGAACGCGTTCAATTTTAAATGATAAAAATCGTACGTTCATGTTCACCTTCCAAAAAAGAATTCTTAAAATAATTATTTACTATTTAATTTAATATAAATAAATACCATAATAGATTTACATGTGAAAAAATATTTTTATATATTGATGATATTAATTTTTAATATAAAAAAGCTTACTTAAAAAATATATACAAATATTTTAACATGTTAGCAATACTTATTTTAGCCCATTCAGCGTCTACATGACAGGATTTTCACTGGATGCAAACACCCTTCAAAAATCTTTGCCTACCCCCCTAAAAAATTCCCGCTACCTTCGGCGGCAATATTTCGCCATTATTATTTTCACCTTTTTAATTATAATGATACTCTTTTCAAAGAATTTATAAAGAATAACTTAAATTAATCTATCTCTACTACCAACCAGTGGCCCCTACACTTTCTGAGCGAATGAAGCAGAATACCCCCCTGAAAAGTACCCCCCCCCCCCTCGAAAAAATGATAATTATTTTATAACACCCATAAATTTCAAAAATAATTTTTATTGCATCAATTTTTAATATATAATATAAATATGCAAAAAAAATATATATTTTTAAATTAATTTCATCAATATTTAATTGTTTAAATAAATTTTTTTCCATTGATAATATGGTCAAATTATTGAGAAATGAATCTTTCATGGTACTACGAAGTCTTGTTTTAATTAATTTAATTTTACTCATGACTCTTTCGGCAGTACATGAGGTTGTAGGAAGTGCAGCATAAAACACACCTATTTTAAAGCTAAAAAAATTTTCTATATTTAATGATGAAAGTATATATACCTCTCCTTTTTGAAATGTAATGTTTGAAGTCTAGAACTTTCAAAATCAAAAGATTTCTCCTTCATAAAATCTTGTGCCTTTGAAAAAACATCCAAAAATTTAGTGTTATTATATTATATTAAAAAATAATTAAGACAATAATTTATATTATACTTCTCAAATTAATCAAGCAATCTTTTGCCAATTGAATTTGATTTATTGCAAACCCTATATCCTTCGAAATGGTTTGCAATTTTGTACAAGCCAAACTTGTTATCAACAATATTTTATCCAAAACACAAGGTGATAGGATAAAATCAAATTTTTCTATTCTAAAGACTATAGCACTAGCCATAGTGAAAGTGGCAGGATCTTCAGAATTCTTTAAATTTGTTAAGGCTGCCCTCAACTCATCTAGTATTCCTAGAACATTTCGAAGTTCTTTAATTGATTGGTATAATTGAACAATGATTAAATTTAATCGATGACAATAACACCAAATAAAAGCTGTCTTTGGCGCCTCTGCTCTAATTAAGGCCTGCACACCATTGATTCTTCCACTCATGTTTGAGACGCCATCATAACTTTGCCCAACAAGAAATTCAAGGGGTAAATTCATCGAGCCGAGTTTGGATATTATATTATGCTTAATATCGAGCCTGTGGTATTTCCCGTACAATATATGTTAGTCAGTTTTTCAACAGGCTTCGGTGTCTCACTATTTTCAACATATCTTAATATCAAAGCTATTGCTTCTGATTTCGAATCAACTATGATTGAAAAGCACCTGTTAAATGTACTCATTTTGAATTTTATAACCATATTTTTCATGGTTTCAATGAGAATATTTATGTTATTATATGATAATAGATTTGAATATAATTTCGTTTTTAATCCCTTATTTTTTTTATCCGTTTTTCTTTCTTCATTTTGTTGTATATATACATTTTTAGTACAGGTTCAGAATCTGCAATAAGCTTAATAAGGGCCATCATATTGTCTTCTTGTTGCCTGTTCCCCCAGAAGACTTGGTTACGAGATATTAAATAATCTAAACATCTCCCTTCAAAAACCTTTGCCTACCCCCCTAAAAATCGCGACCTTCGGTGGCGGTGTCTCTATCATTATTTTTACCTATTTATTTATTGATACTCTTTTCAAAGAATTTATAAAGGGTAACTTAAATTAATCTATCTCTACTACCAACTATCTATATTTTGTGAATATAAATAATTTATATTTTAGATAATAAATTCAATTAAAATCTCCATTATTTACAATGAATTAGTTATTATGGCATTATGAGCTTGCTAAAATATCTAAACCTTTTAAATTGCATTTAAAAGGATAGTTTATTTGGAAAACAATGTGTATGATTGTTTGCAAATTGTATTATAATAATACTATAATAAAAGTATAATTTTTACAGCAATAAATTTTGTCCTATTTCATCTCAAAATTTAATAGATAACCCCCAAAAAAATTTATCCTACCCCCATTAAAGCAGCTTACCCCCTACCCCCTCAAAAAAATAGGATGCAGACTGTTCCTACCCCTCCCGCTCATGTAGACACTGAGCTCATTTATGTCAAAAAAAATTTTAAAAGGTTATAAAATAACGATTATAAAAATTGTCACTTTTTATGGTACATCTTCATGAAATTCTAATTTAACATGTTTACAAAATCTAATTTATACCCATTTGGATTAAAAAAATACAAAAAACTATAAAAATAACGATTTTGACAATTGTCACTTATCTAGGGTATACCTTCACTGAAGTTTTATTTAAATATGTTATCAATACTTATTTTGGCCCATTTACGTCAAAAAAAGTTTAAAAATAATGATTATGATAATTGTCACTTATCTAGGGTACATCTTCATTGAAGTTTTATTTCTAGCAATATTTATTCTAACCCATTTTGGTCAAAAACAAAAAACTTTAAAAATAACGATTATGACAATTGTCACTTTTCAGTGGTACATCTTCATGAAATTTTAATTTAGCATGTTTACAATCTATACTTTTACCCATTTACAACAAAAGTATTTAAAATAAACAACGATTATGAAAATTGTAACTTATCTATGGTACATTTCATTGAAATTTTATTTAAACATGTTAGCAATTCTTATCTTAGCCCATTTATGTCAAAAAAAATCAAAAAAGTTATAAAATAACGATTATGACAATTGTTACTTTTCTATGGTACATCTTGAAATTTTAATATAACATGTTTATAATCTATATTTTTACCCATTTACGTTAAAAAAATTTAAAAAAGTTTAAAAATAATGATTATGACAATTGTCACTTATCTAGGGTACATCTTCACTGAAGTTTTATTTAGACATACTAGCAATACTTATTTTAACGCATTTTGGTCAAAAAAATTCAAAAAACTTTAAAAATAACGATTATGACAATTGTCACTTTTCAATAATAGATCTTCATGAAATTTTAATTTAGCATGTTTACAATCTATATTTTTACCCATTTGCAACAAAAAAATTTAAAAAACTTTATAAACAATGATTATGACAATTGTCACTTTTCAATGGTAGATCTTCAAGAAATTATTGTTTACAATCTATATTTTTACCCATTTACAACAAAAAATTTCAAAAAACTTTATAAACAACGATTATGACAATTTTAACTTATATCTATGGTACATCTTCACTGAAATTTTATTTTAACATGTAACAACTTATATTTTTGCCCATTTACGTCAAAAAATTGCAAAAAAACTTTAAAAATAATGATTATGACTATTGTAGCTTTTATATGGTACATCCTAATTGAAATTTTAATTTAACATGTTAAAAATACATATTTTTGCCCATTAGCGTTAAAAAAATCTAATATGTTTAAAAATACCGATTATGATAATTGCCATATTTCCAAGGAACATCTTCATTGAATTTATAATTTAACATCTTTACAATATAAATGATATTTTTACCCTTTTGAGTCAAAAAATTTAAAACTTAAAAATAACGAATATGACAATTGTCACATTAAAATATTATCCTTAAAAAGATCATAAAATAACATAAATAAGTTAAATATAAATATTTTAAAAAAATTATTTAGAAAACCCACCTCTTTTAATAAACTTAAGAAATAGATAATTTTACAAAAATGATAAAAAAAAACTATAAAAGATTTCACATAAAAATTGTATATTTATAATAAATTTAATAAAAGAATTCCTCAAAAAAGATACATTTACAAAGAAGATTTAAAATTTTTATCATAATATGTTCAAAAATCTTTTTGAACTTCAAGAAATATTTTTTACTTAAAATCTTGGGCGTGAAAATCACTAATAACAAAAATAATATTACAATAGTAGCATATCATTTTTTATTAAAAACATCAAATAATAAATAATATGTTGTTTTCTTTTAAATAAATGCATTCGCAATATATTTATTGTTTCGCAGTAATCTCTCGCGATAATGACTTCGCGTAAACATATTTGCGATAATGACTTCGCGTAAACATATTCGCGATAAAAATTCACTGTAAAGTGTTCGCGTAAAATATTTCGCTAAAATGTATTCGCTCTAATAAATTCGCGGTTAAGGTTTTGCGGAAATAAATTTGCGATAATGGCTTCGCGAAATTGTCTTCGCTATAAATGTTTCGCGGAGATAAATTCGCAGAAATGGTTTCGCGATTTTACC